TCGTAATATGTATATTGCATTACTTGTCCCTTTACCTTCCATAAATCCATTCAGCTCTTCACTCATTTTCATTCTTATTTTTCTTTTTGTTCTTTTCATTATAATTCTAAGTAGTAATTTGGTGACATAATCTATTAAGGTGATTGTACGAAATTCGTCACACTCAATTGCTCCTGTTCATTTGGATAACGCAATAAAAACAGATTTCATCATATCATTTGGAATGTATCCAGTGTTATAAATGTCATTCAACAGTTTATTTAAATATTTCTACCCCAAATTCCCCCAGTACTTCTAATTCTTCTACTGAAATTTCGTCTGGCCCAGTTGACTTTCCTTTCTTCATATGTTTAATAGCATCGTTAACTTCTTCCTTTAGCATTGACGGGCGTTCTAAATTTCTTTCTTCTTTTAATTCTGCTCTCTTTCCATCATATAACTCTCCTATGTATTCATTCCATCTAGCTATTATATTATCTTCCTCCATTAAGATCTCTCCTGCTTTTGATTTCCGACATCCTGTGTTTACTTGTATCTGTCTTCCAGTTGAATCGTTAATTTGTTTATGCACACTTTTGACCTCTTTAACAGGACTGTTTTCAATTTTATTGCATTTTTCATTTAGCCACTCTTTTTATGCCTTCATACACTTATGCCTTATTTCTTTATTTATCTTGTAATATTCTTCTTTGTCATTCATACACTGCTTTCTGTCAACCACTAACTTTAAAATTTATACGTTTGTCCATTTTTGTGTAGCTATTTGTCATCTTTCTGGTAAAATCTCTTTGCTTGTTTGATGGATAGACTCTTTCAGCATTTCCCACTGTTCGTTTATCGTTTGGATTTTTGGTAATGCATTGTACCTGTTCCTCACAATCTATTTTGTTCCTGAATGCCTTTATCCTTTATTAGAATATCCTTGTTTAGTCTACAGTGTCTTTCACACAGCAGTAGTATTTTTATCTTGCACATGCAGGCAAACATAAAAATTACACATGGCCCAGTCACTCATTCATTTACATACGCACACATACATTTACACATACTCATACGAACTCACACAGGCATACACAGGCATAAATACATTAGCTCAAACATAGTTATACTACAGAACAGCTTCATAACTGAGGTAACCATTTGCTGTACCCACCTTTGACTCACCCAGCTCGGGAAGAAGTCTTTCTGACTGTCTGTATGTCTGCATGTCCGCACAACCCTTTGTTTATCCTGTTTCCCCTGTCAATTCCTTCCTCCGTATGTCTGTCCGTCCGTCCATAACTCCCCTTTTCCGTCCGTCCCTCCATCCGTACATCCGCCTGTCCTTCACTTCCTATATTCGTCCGTCCCTACGTCCCCTCGTCAGTCTCTCCCTGCTTTCCTCCGTCCGTCTATATTTTGTCTGCCTCTGTGTGTACGTACGAAGCTGCCTTTCTTTTGTGGGAAATCGTTGTTGTTATTTTAGCATCTTGATGTATAACATTCAATTTTCTCCTCCAAGCCATTTGTTTCTTACCCTCCCCCTCCTCCTCTCTCTTTTCTTCAGCGTTATTTTACTAGCTTCATTTGTGCCAGCACTCACTAACATGGGGCCTCCATTAACCGCGACGTGGTGCATGTTTCAGCCATCTCTTTTACACACACATCGGCAAAAATCTGCCAGGATTATTTTTTTTTTTTTTTTAGTCGCGGTAATCTGCGCTCACAAATTTAGAATCGGGGATTGATTTTACTACAAATTTAGAATCTGTGATCGATTCTATACGTAAATGGAAGAACAGTTACTTAAGTGACCAGATTTAAACGCACGACTTACAAGACCGAGTGTTGTCGCCTTTCTTACAGCAATTATTGAAAGGTGATTTTAATTGACGCCATCTCTGATCGCTGTGATGGCCCACAAGGCCCTGGGGCAACTAGAAACATCACAGACACGTTAATGGCATTTGGAGAACTGTGAATCTCACATTAGTAGAGCCTCACAGTTTGGTTATTTTGTTGCTGAAGGTTTATTTTTGGAAGTATTATCTTGTACTTGAAACCGTGCTCGTGTTACGGTGTCCAGACTTGGTGATCATATGCAATAACAAACAAACAAAATATGATAACACATCTTGAATAGAGAGTGGCTGATATGAATTATGTAAATTGAAAAAGGAATGGTTTCGGGGGTGGGGGGGGGGGAGAGATCAAAGATTTACGTCTGGTGAAGGTTTTAGGAAAGGTGATGGGCAGGTGTAGTAGAGAAGGACAGACAAACTAACTGACTGAAAAACAGATAATCCGGCAGGACAGAACTCTAGGATAAACGAATGTTTAAAGGGTCACAGATGGCACAAACAAACCCATCTTACACTCAGTTCTTGCAACCACTCATCTCAACACAGAATTTTATAAAACGAGTAGTCAGACAGACACGCAGATAGACAGAAACATGAGGCAGATGTTACTCTGCAGACGTATCTTAAGTCTAAGATGTTTCCTTCAACAATAGTAGAAC